TTTTTTTTATCTTCAGGCCACATTCTCATAGTCTACCCCTTGGTGTGTCTTCTAACTTCTGAGAGGCCATAGCTTACTCAAAAGAATCTCCCCATTGGGTACATTTATGTAATTTGGGTGAGCAGGGGCCCTCTTTTCTGTTCCATGGGGCGAGAAGATCCTTCTGGTTGATGAGTTGTGAAGGAGCAGGCCTGTGGTCTGTCCTGTCTCACAGTCCAATAGTAGGAGGGCTAGTTCTACCCTTCGCAAGAGTCCTCGTCCTGAGTCCTGCCATTTTTGTCTTCCCCAGACTAAACCCAGCTGAATTCCATGGAGGGGTAAGCTGTTCTGCCATGAAGGCCTCAGAAGGGCGCCTTCGAGCAGTGTAGGGAGGACACGGAGGGGTGTGGTGACTAAGAGGAGGGAGAGGAATATCCTAGGGTAGCCTTTTGGGGACTTGCCCCACCAGATGTCCCCCTTCCAATTCCTCACTTCCTCCCTTGGGGCATAGCCCTCCTCACAGGTCTGAACCCCAGTGATCAGAACCTTCCTGCAGATGACACTTGGCTGAGGCTCAGGCAGGAACTGGGGGTGTGGAAGGCATCAAAGTGATTTGTGAAGCACGATGACTGATTAGAATGCTAATTTGTGTTTGAACTTCCTCAGTTCTCTTCTCCTTAGGTGAAGCAAGCAGCTTGGCCCTTTTGGACTTCTTACCTCAGGGATTCCTGTCAGCAGAAGCAGCCTGCAGCTCGCAGCTCATCTGAACCTTGGGAAGCAATGCCACTCGGTGTCCCTGGGGGAGGAGAACGGGAAGGCAGTGAGTGTCTTCCGGAACTAAAGGAGGAGATGTCTGGGGCAGGCGCACCTGCTAGGCACATACAATGATTCTCCAAGACTGGTGCTTTCTGCTCAGTTTGGGGTTCTGTGGCAACTCCCTCATGAGATAAGGAGAACCTGGTGAGGAGCGTGGTGTCCCCAGGAAGGCAGGACCCTGAGACTGGGGACCTGGGTCACGGTAGAGTTCTGTGTCCCCTGCAGGGCGTGGAGGTCAAGTAGGGCTGCCACCTTTGGGTCATTGTTAGGGGTGAACCTGGAAGTTATCAGTGGTTTCCATGATAGGCTGGGGGTTAGAGACCCCTTTTCTGTTTCTGAAGCATCACATCCATGTACTGTGTTTCTTATTCATGGCTGGGAGGGGACAGGGACCCCTCCAATAAACGCTTTACTCCTCCATTGCCAGTCTGGCAGATTGAGGGCTCAGAGTAGGACGTACGCTGATTTAAAAGGTAAAGGAGGTGATATTCCTATCACACTTGCATCTAAGGCCCGCAGTTTGCACCTGCCTTCTTGATTCGAGGGTGCAGACGCATCTTTTCCTTTGACAATATTTTCTCTACAACTTGCACCCATTCCCTGTGTCTTCGGCATTTCCATTTATTAATTTATGCCATAAATACTAATTGAGGGTCTACTCTTCGTTAGCTAGTGGGTTAAGGGTAGAGGATACGATGATGTACAAAGCCAGATCCTGCCTCCCATGGAACGTACAGCCTCACGGGGAGACATATATTCATCATGTAATTCTACCAATATTTAATATGCATACATACACCTGGATAAAGACCTAAAGGAAAATAGATGCTGCTATGTGGGTGAGTGGTAACAGATCTGATGTAGTCTGGTGGGGGGGGGGTGTCAGGAAAAGCAAGAAGTCATGTTGGAGCAGAACTTTCAAGATTAGATGAGATATGTGTGTGTGTGTGTGTGTGTGTGTGTACGTGCAAATGTGAACATGCATGCATGCATATGTGCATGCATGTATGTGCATGTATGCAGGTATTTCAGTGAGAGGGAAGACCATTTTAGAAGGTGCTGAGTGGGGGGAGGGGGAGGAGTCTGGTGCCTTGAAGGAACTGAAAGAAGCCTGTGTGGCTGCCCAGGTGAGGCCAGGAAGGGAGTGAGGAACCAGTTCACCTAAGGCCTCAGAGATCAGATTGGGCAGTTAGCTGGCTTTTGTCTTAAGAATAATGGGAGGCCACTGAAAGTTTTTCAGCCTGAAGGTAACAGGATCTGGTTTGCATTTTGAAAAGACTGTTCTGACTGCTGTGTTCAGCAAAGATGACGAGAAGGCGGGAGCCCAGGCAGGGAGAGCAGGGCTGTGTAAGGAGGTAGATCTCACTGTCATCACGGGGAAGGAAGATGTTTAAAACACGAGTAAGTGAAAAACCAAGCAAAACCAAGCTGCACAAACAGAAGCATACTCCTATTTGTAATTTTTCGAAGCGTATGGATGGATAGGTATATATATTCACACTATAGAAGGCTGTGCAGGCATAGGACCTTCCAGCCTGTTGCTATCACTGACTCTTCATGATAGAAAGGAAAATATCCCGGACTTGGGGCCCGCAGCTTGGGTCCCTGCTCCTAATCACTGACTGCGGGCTTTCTCTGTGCCTCAGTTTTCTCATCTGTACAATGAGGGTATTGGTCCAGGTGAACTCTAGACATGAATTCCTTCTACTTCTGGATTCTTCTAACTCCAGGCAGAAAGTAAGCACAAAGAAGAGGGGAGGCAGCGTATATTATAATATTATGCAGGCAAGTTGTGTAACCCCAGCTCTCTTTCAACATTACCGAGTTCGGGTGACATTCTAGAAGAGCAGCAGCAGGATGGCAGTGAGTGAGAACATCTCGCAGGGCAGCCTGACGGTAGGTGGAGTGGGCAGCTGTCTCCGGCTGAGATTTATCGCCTGCCTGCACCAAAATAGCCCCGTCTCCTGGCCTGCTCATGGGGGCTCCTTCCCGGTAAATGTGAAATCCACTCACCCCGGGGCTGGTGCTGCTTCTGTATCAATTATTCTCCTCTAGGATCCCATGGGCCCAGAGGAAGTAACTACACTGGAGGAAATGAAAGAAGGGGCCCGAGGCGGGGAGGACTCAAGGCCGAGCCAACTTTGGGAGGGGGAGTCTTGGAGGGCGCCCCCACCATGCCCCTGTGACTGGCCTGATTAGGATGAGGTGTAAGCAGCAGGGTATTATTTATATTAAGCTGTACCATGGAACACACGTTTGCAAGATGCAAATAGGTATTCCTCAAAATGGGAATTCCATGGTCAAATAATCTGGCAAAACACTGGCTTAAACAAAGTGGAGCAAGTTTTTCTACCCTAGGACTCTTAGGAGTTTTATTAAGCTAACCTCATGAATCCTTGAGGAGGAGGGAAATAGTTTTTTTCCCTTTTTAAAAAGACAATTTTCCAAGAGAGGTCTTCTCAAATCACACTATAGGAGCAGTAGACGAGGCTCTAAGTCTGATCGTGGGGAGGGGGCCTGGGTCTGACTTCTACCTGAGCACCCAGTACCTGCCACACTCACAGGTCCATGGTGAGTACATGATGATGACTAAACTGAAAACTTCCAAACACATTTTGCCTGTTTTAAGATGCGGCTGGAGCTACACCTGGATGCTTAAATTACTGTGTATTATGGACTGAATGTTTGTGTCCCCCCAAATTCATATGCTGAAATCCTAACCCCCAATGCAGTGGTATTAGGAGGTGGCTGTGGATCTTTGATGGAGACATTTCTGAAGAGTGGCTGAAGAGGATGACAAAGATGATGCATGGAGAGGGACTGCAGCTGACAAGAAGGGACAACTTTTTCAAGGAGGATTGCTCTAGGGGAGACAGGGGAATAGGGGTAGTTGCTGAGGGGCTGTGGGTTCAAGGTGATGGAGATACTACAGCGAGTCTGTAGGCCTAAGAACGATCCAGTGACAAAGGCTCACAGGAGACAAAGGTCACACAGGCGAGCACAGGGACAAAGATGCTGGCAAAGTTCCTGAGGAGGAGAGAAGCAATGGGGCTCCCTGAACAGATGGAGGCATTGGCCTAAGTCTAATCTTCAGCGGGGACTTGAGATTTGTGGCCCGAAAGCCTGTCTGTGTCTTCTTTTCAAGCCGCAATGAACAGCTGGGCATGGCAGAAGGTTGGATATACACGTATTCAGGGCTGGGGTTTTGCCAGGCGGCTCCAACAGGGTGGGAGCAGAGCGAGGAGTTGAGGGTGTCTGCAGGGAGTGACAACAGCGGTCACAGGAGGGCAAGAAGGGGGGGGTGGCCCCCATGTGAATGCGGCTCAGAGCTGTGCTGACTTGGAGTTGCTGCACCTCTGACTTTCTGGCCTTGCTTCTGTCTTACCTGAACTGCCCACTCTCCCAGCCCAAGTGGGGCAGCGTTCCTCGGTGATGGCAGAAACACTTAGTGCTGGTTAAAAAGGCAGGTTTTTTCACAGGCCCTATAGCAGACTAACCAAATCCAAATCTTTGGGGGTGGGCCCAGTGTCTGCATATGAAGCAAGGGCCCCAGGGCTCCCCGCCTTGCAGGGGTGGTGGGGCGAGTGGGGGTGGGTGGTTAAGAACCAATGCCTTTGGAGTGTCAATTTACTTTTAAAAGGAACCTTCACTTAATTCCTCTGCCCTAGGTTCTGTTAGCTACTTGGTTTAGAGACACTGCCCAGAAATTTCGATTCTTCCACCATTCTTTCTTCTGATCGCTCCTGCAACTTTTCTTTTCTTTTTCTTTTTCTAAATTTTCCTTCCCTCCTGAAAAGCTACCACTGAGCAATGCCCTTTCAGTGGAAATTCCTGAAAGATGCTAATATTTGGTATCTGGAGGTTCCTGGGGTGTGGTGTGTTTGGCTAAGAAAGCAGAGTTTTGTAGACTCATGAATAAACTCAAAGGACATATTCTTCCCTCCTTGAAAGTTTATTTCCCAACAGGAAAGCCATCTGTTTTTCCACCATCACTCTCAGCTCCACAATATCGGGAAGCTGGTTTGCCCCTTCCTTTTCACCACAAATGCTTGCCATTTGGTGTCACAGAGGTATCCATTACACGCAGAAAGTTATTTCGTATAAGATGTAAGATAAAACGAGGGCCAGCAGGGTACCTGTTCAAATACACTTGTTCCTCTTGTCAGTGGGTCCATGCCAGTTGGGGGAGAAACAGTGTCTATGCTCCATTGATGACCTGGCTACCCTGGTCTGCTTTTAGTTTCTTTTTCAGGCCAGGGGCTTTCCTGCCCCAGGACTTTTGCATATGCCATTTTCTCTATCTGCCAACTCCTCCCTACACCTCCATTTCACATGGCTGGTTCCTCTTCATTCTTCTGGCTTCTGTTTAAATATTATCTCCTCAGAGAGGCTTCTCTGACTATCATGTCTACTATACGTCGTCTGATCGCTGCCACATCCCCCATTCCTTATCTCAGCACCATAATTGTTTTCTCTCTTGTTCTTGTTACAGTTGGTAATTATTCTGTTATTTATTAATCATCATCTATATCCTCCAATAGATTGTAGGCAATAAGCAAGCAAGACTTAGTTTGCTTTGCCCGTCACTTTGTCCCCAGTGCCTGGCACCTTATGTGCCCTCAATTTGTTGATTGCATAATTTGAATATGCTTAAGACAGGGAATGATGTGATTAAGATACATTTTTGGCTCATTTCCCTTCTGCACCAGTTAGGATTAGGTTAAGTAGCAGGTGACACAGATCAGATGAGTTGTGCCTCTTTCCCATTTCCCTCCAGAGGGGGCATGAGTAAGGAGCGAGGCAAGCGGCCAGGGGGATGGCTCTGGGAAAGCTGAGGGGTGGGGAACAATGTAACCCCCCTAAACTGCATCATAAAGCCCTAGTTCCTGGCTGAGCACCTCTGCCATCTGCCTGGGACCTATGCTTCCAGCTTTATCTCTTCCTTCTTCATGCTCCCTCTGCTCCAACATTTCCTCACCCCAGTGCGTTGGCTCCTGCTAGTGTCCTGCTTGGAGGGTCTTCCTTTGTATCTCTGCATGTTGGATCCAACCCCCTTCAGTGTCCAGAGCCAATGGCGTCTTCTGCAGGATGTCACCATCGACTGCATCGTACCAAATCCATCTCTCTTTGTTTCGTGTTCCTAGGGCCCCTCGTTTATGCCACTTCTACCACCTTCACATTATTTACACATGAATCTAGCAGACACTGCTAGTTGCCTAGAAGGGAGATGACAAGACGGAGGCTTGCATAAAATGAGGTAGGACAGTAGGAGGCTGGGGGCGCAGGGAGGAGATAAATGCAGGGCTGCATTTGTTTGCAGCAGCCTGGTGGCTGTTCTTTTCAGACCAGGCATGCACTCTCTGGTCGCCAGTGGCCCCGCTCACCATGCCCTGCATCAGTTACACTGGGTCCCCCTCACATAATTACATTGCCTGCCTGGCCCTTGTAGGTGTTTGGCCTTGTGACCCATGCTCTACAGCCTCCTGGCACGCGGCTGAGCCCACTTTGCCTGAAATGCCTCCAGCGATGATAGAGAAAGGCTCTCATGGGCGCCACCATTAATACCACCGTTAATCTTCTGTAACTTGCACTCAGTGGCCCCAGTTCTATCTTTTGGGATCACACAGATTATGCTCACTGTCTCTTGCACATGACAGCTCTTCGGACATGCGTAGTCAGCTGTGTCGCCGTTGTTTCAATCTCCTCTCAATAACTCAGTAGCTCTCAGTTGTTTTTATGAATGATGTTAATAATGTTATGACTGATTCTTCAATGCCAGCTGCGGCCATTTGGCAGCTTAAGGAAGCCTGGGTCGGCAGAAGGAAATCAGAGTGTCAGAATGTTACGGGCATTTCAGAAATCGTTAGCCCAGGGAAAAGAGGCAGCTTCATTGATAAGTGGAGAGCGGCTGCTTGGAGGATGGTGCTGATTCTCAGACCGCATCTGGGTTCACTGGGAAAGGGTTCTGGGGTGGATTCGTGATGGCTGCCAGGAAGAGGAAGAGGGGGAGTCATTCGCCATCTCTGATTTTACCCAACTTCCACGTCCCTGACAGGTGGACAATGTCCTGTGTGGAATAAGGTGCAGTATGGGATCTAGAATCCCTGACTTCTGCTCTTGAGTTTTCTTCCTTTTGACCAAGCTGCCTCACTGCTGTTGGTGTCATCCAGGGAAATTCAGAGGCCAAGGAAATGCTCATCAAGACTTTGGTGGTGCTTTGTTGTTGTTGTTCCCTCATTTCCTTACCTGTTAGTTATGTCAGCTGCCTCCTCTAAAGGCTGCCTTTTCCGTCACTCTGCCTATGCACCTCTCTTCCTACTTAAGTGAAAAACAATCATCCTGCTTCTTCCGCTGCCATTCTTTTCTGGACAAGCACAATAATCAGCCTTTAATGAGCCTGTGACTCTGAACCGAGGTATAATAATTCCGGTGACTCTGCAGCTTCCGTTGATGGAAATATATTTATTTTAGAAGCTGATGACCTGTGGGAAAGGACTATGATTCTAAATATCATGATGAGGTCATGGGAGCTGATAGATGGCTTGGAGAGAGGGGGAGGAGAGAGGAAGAACAGCAGTGAAAATTAGAATTGCATAGGAATGAAAAAAGACTTCTTTCTATTCGGAGCAAGAGATGCCGGTTTTGTGAGGCTTCAGGGGTGTTGAAGCAATATACACAGATGAAAGTTTCTTGCGCTGGCCTAACCCTTTACTTATGTTCCATTGCGTGACATGGTGACATGAGGGATGGTAGCTAAGGTCAGCCTTAGTTAGGTCCTAGGTCGGAATACTAGCAGGTGCTAAGAGTAGAGAATGGGATGGTTGGTGATGACACGTCGTATCTTTATAGCATCTTAGACTTGTTCCTGCCTGGAAATTTTATATAAAGTACTACACGTTCTACTATATAAAAGCTAGATTAGCGGAAAACAAACTAATAAGCAAAAATGCACAGTCACCCATAATCCCATCCCTCAGTCATTATTAATAGACATATTCTTCTTTAATCTAATATTTTACTGTACTGTACAGTTGTGACCATCTATCTTCCTTGGTCAGTAGATATAGGTCTGTGATGTCGTATTGGACATTTATTGATTGTTTTCAAAACAACTATTCCTACCTTCTCGGTTCTTGACAGAATGCAGGATTTCCAGGCTAAATGGTTTGTTTGGGTGAGTCATCCTATCCCCAGCTCCAGAGTGGACTTGGATTAGATGGAGCCAATCAGCTTATCTGATTCCCCAGACCTTGGTTATTGGTTCAGGGGTGGGTACCTGACTCAGTATAGACCCAGGAAGAGACACCTGCTGAGGATCTTTGGGTCAGAAAGCTTTTCTCTTTTTCATGGAAGCTTCTGGAACTGACCTCTCTCTTACCTCAGGTGGTGTGGCATAAGAAGGTGAGATTAGAAGTCCAGTGGTCACTGTTATTAACGGGAGAGGTGGGGGACTAACTGGGACTGCGACTATAGAGATCAGAGTTGAGCGTATGGCAGGAAGAAGAAATCAGAGCCTGGACTCCACCAGGAACCTTTGGATCAAACCAAACCATTTCTGTGATGATGATAACATATAACATAATATTGTGCATGCCTAGTAGGCACCCAATAAATGGTAGCCATTCATATTACCAATCTTTAGGCTCTGCAATAGAAAGACACATTTTCCCCCTAACGGGGTGAGAGGGAGCCGAGGCACGAGAAGACAAGGGGACTTGCATAAAATTTGAGCAAGAGCTAACATGAGGACACGCTTCTGAGCTCACTGATTCTGGGTCCAGCTCCTAGCCCATTCCTAAGCCCCGTCACCTCCTTGTGCAATCAAAAGGTGGCAGAAGTAATAAAGACCTTACGTTAGCAGGTTATTTGGGGGTGGGAAGATTCAAGGTGAGCTTCACCTATCTTCCTTACTCTTTTCTGTGTTGTTTGAAAACTGACTGAGCACATAGTATTAAAACTAATTTTAAAATGCTTTAGATAGAAGTAAAGCTTGTTTTCATTCTGAGGAACCGAGATTTGAAAGCCGAGCCGGAGACCGTTTATGTAGGCGGTGACTGAAGTCTACGGCCTGGTTTTCTAATGAACTAGAGGGGTTACTCTAGTTGGACTAGAGATCAAGAAAGTGTGACCAGCGATTGCCCAAATGCCAGGGTTCCATGGTGAAATGAGTTTGCTCAGGCCCAAGCCTGAGCTCTGCACACAACACTGCGCAGCTGGCTTGGAGGGACAGCCGCTGGCCTCAGCCATGGGGAGGCAGTGCGTCTGCGTAAGAGCTGAGGAGGAGGGCCTCCATGCTTTCCGTGGACGCTGTCTCCTCCTCCCCCGTCTTCGTGCCTCGGCAACAAACAAGAGAACTTGGAGGCTCACAAACCTTTTTATAAACAAACAGAGCCCCTTTCCTGTTCACTTTTCTCTTGTGCTGGGCTGCTGGGCCATGGAATGTGACCTCTCTCTGTGGAAAGAGCCAAGAGCGAGCTTTGCCAGCGGAGTTGGCAGGTACCAAGCTGCCCCCGGTGCAGACACCTCTTGCTGAAATCTATTTGTGGAGACCTACCTCCTGGATGCTCACTGCCCCCGGGCAGGGCTCCAGCCTCTGATATGTGAGTCACTTCTGCATCGTCATGGTAAGACCTTCCAACGACATGCCCATCACAGGCGACTGAGGGTTAGGGGCTCACAAACTGATTTAATTCCCATACTGACTATAAAATAGGCAGGGCGTCCCCATTGTACGGATGAGAAAATTGAGGCGCAGGTGGATGAAGGGACTTTCCCCAAGGTCATAGAATTAATTCGTGGTAGGGCTTACACTCTCCTGAGAAAGGCGCTTCACGTGGGAAGAACTGGATGTTGATCTGAGATGTTAGAGGTGCAAAGCAGTGGGTACCTAGTGCACAGAGGAAGGGGCAGCTGCCCAAGGGAAGTGATGAGAAATGGGAGATTGGGGGGCCAAAGACCCCAGCTTTGGGGCATAACCAGGTTTGAATCTAGCTTCTGTCTGACACTAGCTGCATGACTGGGCAAGCTGCTCTCTGTGCCTCAGTTTATGTAATCAACAAAGAAAACAATTGTACCTACTGCATAGGCTGCTCTGGCCATTAGATGACAGGATACACATTTCACTTGGCGTCCGGCTCTGTGGGAAGCATTCAGTGTGTCACGGGTGTGACGGTGGTAGTTGTTATCACAGCCTCTAGTTACTCTGCGCCTTTGCCTGGAGCTGACCTGGGGTATGCTGCTTCCTCGGTGGTGAGTAGGCTCAATTTTGGAAAGAAGACGACCATACTGTTGAGGAGGTGCATGTGGCTAGGAGAGGCCCTGGGCAGTTTGTGGGAGCTGGGAAGCGATGGGGGATCCAAGCCCACAGAGGCCGTTTCTGCAGCTTACTCTCAGGGCCTATGGACAAAACACAACGAAACATGGTAAGGTTTCCAAAAACGCTCTCAAGTGCTGCCAAGCCTGGATCTGTTTTCTGAGTCTCTTCGAAGCAGCTCCGTTGCCCTCTCCCTTCAGCGGCATAGCGCTGTGACCCTTCGGGGCAAGAATCCATCCTGAGCGATGTAGCAACTGCTGGACAACACTTGTTTTCCGAGAGAGGTTCCTCTTGGCTCCCACCTTTGTGCCGCTCATGCTGAGCTGCACCAAACAGTGAAGAAACAGGATAAAACGGAGGGGCCAGGGGTCTGCTCTGCTGAAGGTGAATACTAACCCTATCGCCCCTCAGGTATTGAATAAGTGACACTCCTGCTTAAGAGTCTTCCTAATGGTTTCCTAATGTCTATTCCTTATGAGATGAAATAAAGTGCCTTAGCCTGGCATGCAAGGTCTGGCCTCAGTCTTCCTCTGCAGCCTGTCCCTTGTTGGATGCCACATGAACCCACGCTCCAGCCATACCCAGGATGTGAAGTTCCTCAAATGTACCATATCTTTGCTTGTGCCCATGGGGAAGATTGGTATAACGGAGACATGGTAGATGCTCAATATGTATCTGTTGGATCAAATCATATTTTATTTTTCCCTTTTGTCATGTTTACAAACTATAATAAAGACATAGACAAAAATAGCAATGTAGACTGTGCCTTAAATAGCAGGGATGCTTGTCCTAGCATTAAAAAGAGCAAATTGGCTATTGTCCTGAGCTTTGTCTGGCAGCGAATAACTGTGGGGTGGAATATACCACCCACCACTAGGCTCCATCACTCTGTGCCCCCCACTCCTCATTACTTACTCAGGAGGTGGCAGGAGGCTGCAGAAGAAGCCTGTATGCCAGAGAATATGGAGGTAAAACAACGTTTTGCAAGAAGGCATTTGTCTTTTCTCTGTAGGAGACCAATTCATGCTGCCCCTGATTTGGTGGCTAAAACCATTTTGGATGTAGGATTCTTGGGTTAAGAAAGACCTATTAGCCCTAGTAGCCTTATGGAGTTAGCTTTTGCAAGGTCTGTATCAGTTCTCAACTGGGGGCATTTTGCCCTCTGGGGATATTTGGCAATGTGCAACGTCTGGAGATGACTTGGGGTACTCTTCTCCAGAGCCTCTCATGACAGCTTAAGTGGAGCCTCCCCAGAGAGGCCTTCCCTGTCTGTTGTACAGTCACTTTCTGTGATAATCACTATCTGTGATAATCACTTCATTTACTATTCTCCATAGCCTTCAACAATAACTGAAATTATTTTATGCATCTGTGTACTTGTGTTTGTTTCCCACTAGCGAGTTAAGTGCCTTGGAAGTAGGACCTGCGTCTGTCTTGTTAACCCCTGCATCCCGGTGCCGCGGGCAATGGCGGGCAGTAGGAAACGTTCATCCTTGGGGGATGAAGGGATGACTGCAGCCTGGGTCCCTTTCTGCTCATCCTCTCATCTAGTCATCTTTCACCGCCTGTCTACATTTCACCTCCTTAGGCCTATGTAATGCCTTCCGTTTTTGACTCCTCCTGACACTTTATAATTCTTACAGACTTTTATCTTCCTCTGTGGTGTATTTGGATTCTGGGGACATTGTGCTAACCTCCCTGTCCTACTGTGATCTCCTATGAGGACAAGGACTGGGCGTTTCTCTGATTGTTTTGGCTGGTCTCCGCCCACAGTCCACACTGCTGCAGAGCACCGCCTAGATATTTATCTGTGTCTGTTGCGTGAATTCCACTTTGAGTGATCACCCCAGGTGTGGGCAGGAAGCTTTCTTCCCTTTGGGCGTCTTTAAGGTGGGGACACAGCCTTTAGCAAACTATTTTTCACACCTAGTGAATAATTCTCAGGCAGACATGCGATGTTGAGTCAGGCTATTGTTTGAGCTTCTCTAAGTGAATGTTCTCAGCAGAATCAGAGAAACCATGAAAGGATAAGTAGAGAGCTGTGAAAATTACACAATTCCATGCTATCAGTGAAATGTGGTTTCTGAGCTTTCCTCAATTGCTCTCTCCTAAGCTTGGCCCAAACAATGTTCTGAGACTCTTTTTATTAGAATAATTCCACCTAAGAATAGTAAGCATTAAATTCAAGAGAGTTAGAACTGGAAGGGGACTTAGAAATAATCTCTCCTTAATAATTGATGAGGAACCTGAAGCTTTGGGAGATGTATTTAACATCACGCAGAAGTCAGGGGCAGATGTGGGCTAGCTACCCAGGAAGGCCTCCTGACCCTTGGTCAGTACTGTTTTCATCTCAAGGTCACTCCCTTTGTCCCAGCAGCTCTTCCGATGCTGTCCCATACATGTTTTTCCCCCTCTCAAGCTGCAGGTGTCAATCCTTCATGCTGGTGGAATGGGGACCTGCCTCCATGGCCTGATTTCAAGGACATCAGGAAATCTCCCCCTTTTTCTCCCTGGATCACTGTTCCCCCTGGCCAGTCACTGATGCCACAGATTGTACCATAAGAGACAAGCTACTTTTTATCTGGACATAATCTGTCTTTAGATCAAAGGTTGCAACTTCAAATGCCTATGGGGGCTGAGCAGGTAATATAAATGGATGCAAATAGAGAGCTGGTCCATGCGGGGCTGTGAGGTCTGGGGAGCACAGACCGTATCCATGGGGCCTAAACGGGCAGCAGTGGCTCCACTCCAGCCAGAGGGCTGATATCTTCTGTGTTTTCAAGAGAAGCCAGAAATGCAATTCTTTTTTTTTTCATTTGAACTCTCCTGAATTTTAAGCATTGGCCACAACAATAACAAAATGATTAAAGTACTATCTGACCAAAAAATTAAAAAACAAAGACAGTTCTCCCTCCCCAAGCTGGATTTGATCTTTTACATGGGACCGTGGAGCCACCCATCTCTTGATTCTTTCCAATAGCTGGAGGATGAGGGAGGTCAAAGGAATAAAACGTTTCCTCAGGGAACTGCATGGAAAGCCAAGCTTGGGTGGCAAGTGCAGGGCTAGGAATAAGGTGAGGTCGGGAAGTGCCTAGGGTGCAAAATTTAACGAGGCATTCACTCTCAGGGCTGACCCTGAACTTGCATGAGCTGGGGAGTGACAGCCTCCTTAAATTTGGCGCCCTAAGTGCTTAGTCCTTCACCTCGGTGTGGGGGTGTGGAGGAGAGAAAGGAGGCCCAGGCCTGAGTCAGGGGAACCATGTTTACAGGTGAGGCTGAGTGGAGAAGACCCCAGGGAGGGGACAAAGTGTGTGAAGGCCACAGAAGGCCAGTTGTTTTACTCTGACTCCTCCGACATAGCAGTTGGGGAGAGTGTGTCCTGTGCTTATAGCACCGCTGTTTGCTTCCCCAATATTGCACACCTTCTAGAAGCCTTGACTCAGTGGCAAGTGTGAGAAGGCAAGGAGCAGCAATTGTTTTTATCTCCAAACCAGGCAAGGAAAACAGTTGTCAGCACCGTGCAGGGGTGTAAAGCCTCAGTGTGGCTGTGGAGCTGGCGGGTGGGGCAGGTGGTGTCAGTTAACCCAGAGGCCCCAGGAGCTTGCAAGGGCCTCTGCCTCCGTGACCCGCCTCCAGGGCGGTGCAATGTTGTTGCCCTTGAGGCATCTCCTGGTTGATTATGATATGGGGGAGGCGGGGGAGGCTGGGCCTTTGCAGAACGGGCCTCCCTGCCTCCTGAGTGGCGCTTAGCAGGAATCTGGAGGAGCAGGGCTCTGAGCAGCGTTTCCTGCTGCCTGTTGGCTTCCCAGCCAAATGCCTGCGGTTTGGGCCCAGCGTTGGGGACAGCTGGCTTTGTTTTGGTGTTCAAATCAGGGGGGAGGGACATGGTTTTAACATTGAAAAAATAAATTGTTAGAGAGAGAGAGAGAGAGAGAGAGAGAGAGAGAGAGAGAGAGAGAGAGAGAGAGAGAGNAGAGAGAGAGAGAGAGAGAGAGAGAGAGAGAGGAGGAGAGGGAGAGGAGGCTTCCAGCCGGAACCCTTGAATGCTCTGACCCTGCCTGCTCCTTTTCAATGTCAGAGAATCAACCCCTGATGGGAGCCAGCAGTTAGCAATCAGCCCTTGGGAAATGAACAAGCAGTCATGGGGGGGGGGGACCAAGTATCCCCAAGGTGTTGGGAGGGTCCACATAGCCTCTGCATGGGGGTCTCTGGGGCCCCCTCTTTACCTGGATGCTTGCTGCCAGCTACCTGCTGTTTTGCATACCTGCAGCACATGCCTGGGCTTCCAAACCCTGTGGGGTTGCTTGAGGGGACCAGGGGGCAGGAGGGCCTCTGGGGGATGGATATGCCAGCTGTATGTAAGTGCAGGATGTTGGAAAAGCTGTCAATTGAGAAATGAGAAAAAGTAGGCTTCACTGGGACCCTAGACTATATAATTAGGACCAAAGGTGGAGCAAACAGATACATTTTTTCTGTTAATTACAAGCACAACAACAACAAACCAAGTTTCTTTTTATTATAACAATCGGAGATGTCCCCCAATTGTTGTGTCTGGTCTGCTGACCTCTTAGGGAAGGCTTCCATGGACTCCTCCGTCTTCCCGCCAGCTAAACTCCATACCCCCCCCCCAGCTATTCTGTGCCATCAATTTGTTTATTTCCTTCAAGTTATTCACCAAGTCAATGAACACCATGCTTACTGCCTGCTCACTCGTGTGGTGAGCCAGTCTGGGAGACCAGCTTCATGAAGGTGGAGGGTTTCTCATGGGGGGCTCTGGGGCCCCCTCATCGACCTGGATCGTTGCTGCCAGCTACCTGCTATTTGGAATACCTGCAGCACATACTTGTGGCTTGTTCATCCAGTGCCTAGCATGGGGCCTAGCACATAGTAGGTACTCAGTAGAGAGTGGTTGCTTGAATGAAGGAAGAGCGAGTGAATACTTTAGGAGGAAATGAATTCCTTACCACTGGAAGGATTTAAGCAGAGGTTGAGTGGCCAATAGCCAGGGATGCTAGAAAGCCCACCTTCCTCCTCTTCCCTGCTTTGGTCAGTTATGCCAGCTGCTGTGACAAA